TCGCCTTGAATAAGAAAAATAAGTGCCGAAATTGAAAACCAGTCTCAAGCCGATAGGAACCCAGATGCGGTCAGTTTCATTCAACCGAGTCCATCCGAACATGGGGGGAGATGCGACCAGACTACTAGTATATGGCGAATATCGTATCGGCCTGGTCGGTCACTTGCGAATCCATCGCACAGAGACCGGAGAACCAGTGCCTGGAGCACCAACCTACACCCACCGAGCTCGTCTCCACTGCCCACACTGTCCTCGCACTTTCAGGCACCGCATGGGCCTATTCGGCCACATGCGCATCAACGACGACCTGCGGTAGACAACCGCCGGTTACACCACGCATCCACACACTCCCTACCCTCCTCCACCATCACCAACACATATCAACACTCACCCACCACATGCACCAACTGCTACCTTCCACGCAAGTGGGAAGTGTGCATCTTGACTCGGTCCCCACGCGGCTTCGGCTGCACGGGTGATTTGAGTCCGAGGCTATCCCGACACTTCAAGTGTCGTGGATAGGAAGGTTGCTGATTGACGCCCGCTCTCGGTTCACGCAGTTCGTCACGTTGTGTGGGTGTGTGTGTGTTGTGTGGAGTGGCGGACTGGTGGGCTGGGAACGAGCTGAAGCAGCACCTTCCACGGCCCTCTCACGCAAGTCAGAGACACGCCGTCCAACCCCCGTTGTGTGAAATCCTGGTGTTTGTGTGTGTATGGGGGGCCAGGTCGTGCTGTGGCGCGCGCAGTCACGGTCAGTCGACCGTGGCAGCCCGTTCCCCACTCCAGGTTGCCGGCCGGCTCGGACGGCGGCTGGGGTGTGGGAATGGGAAGGGAGAGTGAGGTCGACGACTCAGCGCACTTTCCTCACTATAATCAATCTGACGCGCTTGAAGCTATCACGGTGCGCTAAAAGCCGTGGCTTGGAAGGTTGCCAACTGACGGGGTAACTTGGACCTCCTCCTTAACTGGAGGCGGCCTGAGAGTCAGGCTGCAATGGCTCCTTTTTAATGTGGCCTTTATGGCACTCTCACCACAGTGTGGGATCCGAGCCAGGCGTTGGCGACACGCCCAGGTGCGGCTTCGGCCGTACCAGCCTCCAAATCTCTCTTGTGTTGGTTGAAATCCTGGTTATTTGTTGTGTGGGCCAAAGGGTGTGGTGGAACGCCAAGGCGAGGATCCGTCCGAGCCATCCACCTGCGGCCTCCCCCGTCTCCGGTCTTCTTGACTCTGTCTTGACACCGGGCCCAGGCGGGGGAGGAGGAGAGAGTGCAGGTAGATGCAGCGCAAGTCTACTGGCACTATAAACCCCTGCGCAAGTCACCGTCCCTGCTCCAACCTGCTGTGGGGCACACGGTGGACATCAACGAAATCGATGGTCGAACTGTCAGATATACACAAGATCGCAGTTAATTTGCCAGTAATCCACGGGAAACTAATTTATAAGTTAATTAATCTTCGTCAATCCGGCTTCTTACGACAGCGGGCCAAAATTTTCCATCACTTCCGTGACTTATCCTATTGCCCCAAAGGCATCAGACCTGTAGGTCAGCTTTCTGGTGAGACCAATTTAGTGTTCCACTAGTCTTGCTGAAGAGCTCCTGGTCAAAATGTACAAACTCCTTTCTCCGCGTAAAAAATAGCTGCCTCCCTTGTGTAACTTTTTAACATAATTGCGATGGAACACTAAAGCTCTTCTGTGCATCGGCATTCAAGTGGAGTTGCCTATCAAGAACACATCTGAAGATTTAATTTCAGACCCTCTAGCATTGGATATCCCGATCGCAGATTTGTCAGCTTCGTAGTTTAGGAATATATGAGCAGGCCAGGCACTAAGTCGTTTCAAGTACTTTTTGGATGTCTACAAGTCTGTGTCAGACTGAATTAGACGTTTGTGCGTAATACTACCGAAAACCTTTCTAAAGCATGTGTACAGAAATTCTTTTCTGCTGTCATCCTCCTTAAATACCCTAGTTGATTGATCTGTCAAAAGTAACAAACTGGAAAGAAAAGAATGGTCCTATCTAAAGCCGTGCTGCATTCCCGAGAGTAATTGGCACACCTTAGAAGATCAAGGGCCGATTTCTTGAGTCCACATTTATCCATCCAGGGCAACTGCAGGTTACAATGACAGGGCGGTAAAAACTGACACGAATTTGAACGCACCCCCATGCATCTCCCTGATTCAGCTGATAAATTAAAGATAAGCGTGGATGACTTGGAAAGTTCGCTAATT